CTCTCTCTCTCTCTCTCTCTCTCCTCTTTCATCTCTCTCTGTGTTCCCCAGTCAAAATCGGACAATGTCTCAGAGTACTAAGACAGAAAATGTCTCAGAGTAATGAGACGGAGTTATTTTCTGGCTCCCTTGTGGTTTCGTCTTACACCAGTGTGTCTGTATTTTCAGACACTTTTTGAAGATTGTCACTTCCACCTTAGAATCTAGCGTGGCGGATAAAAGTCAATGCACCAACCAAAATTGTAAAAAATGATTTTTAGAAAACAAATCAAGACTTGAAAAAATTACTCTTTTTTTAATTATAAATTGGTATAAGTAATTTAGTATACATTTCAAACTCTACAAAAACATCACTAAAAGCGGAAGAATTACTACAAAAAATTAAGGATGCTGTAGTAACTGTACATTATATCTTGTTCATTTTATGTCTGTCCACGTAAAAAAAAAATCTACTTACTTTACAAAGTCAAAGAAACGTTGCATGAGAATTCCACAGGCCAGAGACACAAACAAAAATATGTTTTTAAAATTTTAATCTAATAATTTTTTAAAAATTTCACTTTGGGCCCTATTTTAAAAGCCGCTCTTTGTGTACATGCATAGGATTGCTAAGATAAATGACTTACAGTAACCTTATCAAAAAATTGCTCATTGAGACAGCGACACCACCCTGGCCCCACATTTCAGTGTAAGTTTGTAGATTTCATCCCCCGGCTGTCTAGACGTCTCCACGTGCTCCACGTGAGTCTCGAAAAATACTCACCCGGTCTCTTGAATCGTGTTTCTTAGGCGGACCCTCCATAGACGGCCCACGGCACGCGGCACATGACTTGTCGGCACGTGCCGTGCCACAGACTAACACCCCTCCCTCCATAGACCACAGCACGACATCACAACACAACACATCACCACCATGGATTCGTCTGATGAAGATTCTCTCATCATGTTGGCAATTCGAAATAATCGGAAAAAGAAGAGAAAAAAGCGGATCATGTGGTGCTGAGAATAGTTTCTATTTAGGAGCAGTAGAGGAGAGTTTCATCGAACCTGCTGGTAGACATTTACTGTCAATATATTCCCAGACTTATTGTCTTTGATCTTTGTTGTGACACTCCGGGTTTTGGGGGTCCCAAAGAAGCGGTCGGTCTCTCACATGTTCAAGAATTTCTTTCTTGTAGTCATCCATTTTGGCAGCACACGACACAAAAAACGAGCAATGCAGCGAAGCAAGGCACACAATGTTTGGTCGTGGCTGTGTCGTGCCGTCAATGGAGTGTGCAACTCGAAATAGTTGTGTTTGATTTTATTTCGCACGCGTGCCATGTGCTGTGTGCCGAGTGCTGTGTGCCGAGTGCTGTGTGCCATGTGCTGTGTGCCGAGTGCTGTGTGCCGAGTGCTGTGTGCCATGTGCTGTGTGCCGAGTGCTGTGTGCCGAGTGCTGTGTGCCGAGTGCTGTGTGTCATGTGCTGTGTGCCGAGTGCTGTGTGCCGAGTGCTGTGTGTCATGTGCTGTGTGCCGAGTGCTGTGTGCCGAGTGCTGTGTGCCGAGTGCTGTGTGTCGTCTATGGAGGGTCTGTCTTTTAGATTCTGTAGGTCATCCACTATTTAGAGGCTCAGGCTCAGGCTCTGTTTTAACCGGAGTCAGACAAAAGTGAACAAACTATAACTCTAATAAAGTATTTTTGATTAAAATTTTCTATAATCACCCACCGGGCTTTGAAAAAGACAGGAAATAATATATGCAAGACAACATAGTTCACAGTAAATATAGATCTATAATTATATATTATTA